GAAACTTGTACGGCGGTAACGACGGCGGCGGTGGCGGCGGCGGTGGGAGTGGCGGTGGCGGCGGTGGGAACGGGGGCGGTGGCGGCGGGGGTGGGAGCCGTGGCGGGGCATTCCAAGAATACAATACCAGTAGGGTTTTGCAGTCAGCCACATCGAACAAACCCTTTGCAGTACCATTACAAGTAGCAAACCTTAGTAAGGGCCAACAATAATCAAGGGGGGTAGCGCTACCAGACGTCCCTGCATGCAACCCAGGAAGCCCCTTCAAAACGTAACCATACAACCAGAGTGCTACGCGAAGCAGGCATAATCACACACGTCCTGCCCGCTTCCTCTTTTGCTTCCCCCGCGCGTCTCTGCCCCATTTGCCCCTGCCCCTATCGAAGCTCACTTTAGGCACAGGAATTAGTATATGGGTCCCGTGGCCTACTGAATATCGGCAACCCCCGCGAGTCGCCGAGTACATCACGGCGCTTCGCGCTTGGTGATGTGAGAGCCTGGTCCGGTGAGAATCTGGAGTGCTCCGTCCCGGCTTTGTAGGGACGCGAGGTCAATACTAACGATTACGGCATGCACGACTGTGAGTACACCCCCCCCCCCCCCAGTTCTGGTATGGAAACCAAAGGAACTAGGATGAGACAAAACGGAATTTTGTGCCCACCTCCTGCTCTCGATTTTTTTTATCTCATACTGAGTTGTAGCAGCATTGGGCAGGATGAGTCGCTGGGGTCACGACGGGGCGAAACTCCCAAAACTACTCATATGAACAATTGACTCGCGGACCCTTCGGGTCCACTTTGATTTCGATTACCATTCTTGCGTAAGTTAGCCTGTGACCACAGGAATCGACCGGGTCAAGTATTGAACCAGTGCGGACGGAAGAAGGCACGGCATAAGAGAAAACAGAACGGTTTTCAATGCCAAGACAACAACAACGACAACGACTACATGAAACACAGAGGGGGGTGTCGCATCCCTATCCTTATCCATAACCCTAACCCCCCCACTAAAAACTACAGCAGCTTGGAACTCCTTTGTGTGAATGAAGAAAAAAAACACAAACACGAGGGGGGCGAATACCCGTATTCCTTATGGTCCGAAGTTTCCATCTCGGAGGGCGGGTCCTGATTGACCGTCCATCCTCAACAGGATCTCTCCTGCACCAAACCTCTCATTACTGGAGAAATTCTCGATGAAAGCATGAAAAAAGTTGTGCTTTCAAACTCCGGCCGGGCGACCCACACGTATACCTATATACGCCCCTATGTCCGTGTCACGCCCCCCCCCCGCCCCCCGCCCCCCTCCCAGAAAAAAAAATAAACACACGAGAAAAAAAAAACAGCGCATCCATGTATTGTAGATACATAGATAGGAGCTGGAGGTTCAGCGGCTCACCTGTTTCTTTGTCCTCTGGGACCCTACCACGTCGGTCGCCCCGGACACCCACCGCCTCCCCAGGTCTTGGTGCTCCTGCAGCCTCTCCGCGAGCGTCGCCTCCTTCTCGTCGTCCTCATCTTCATCGCTCTGAGGAAAGGAACAAGAAGAGGAGTTGTCTCGTTTTCAAGGGTGTGTAAACGGGGGAGTGCGTAGCGGGGAGCGGGGCATGAGCCAAGGATTTCGTGCTTTTTCTTTGTTGCTTTGGTGTTGGTCCTAGTTTGCGAGGGACAGGACTATTGATGGGCATACGTGGGCCAGGAATAGCGAAAGAAAAACAGGGGGAAAGCAATAAATACGCCTTTACCAAAAGGCAAACGGGTGCGCATTGCAGAACTACAACATTCAATGAATGTTGCCTCACACAGAAATTTCCAAAACAATTTTCGGGAGATGAAGTCAGGTAAAAGTTGAAGCAGTATGACCGCATAGACGCTTGAGGTTCCAGAACCCTTGGCCAACGAGCAAGGCGCATGTTTACTCGGTGATTCTTTCCAAATAACCACGAACAACATCATCATCAACAATAGCAGCAGGAGTAGCAGCGGCAGAGGCAACGACAACGACAACGACCACAACACCCATCCCAAGACCAACAACAACAACATACTTTTGGAGAGTACAACAGCAGCAGCAACAGCAGCGGCATCAACGACGGCAGCAACAAAAAAAAAAACAATCACAACAACAACAACATCAACGGCAACAGCAGCGGCGGCAATCCCACCTCGCTAAGCCCCTCCTCAAGTATTTGATCCAGTGTCTTCCGCGGGGGTGCCCCGGCGGCTGCGCTCGCCTCTCTCGCCTGTGTCTTGAGCCACTCGCTCATCCCATCGCCGCCTTCGCTCTCCTCGCTCTCGAGGGATTCCTCTGCCCCGGATTCTTCTCCTTGCGCCGCCACGACCTCCTCGTCGCTTTCGGCCCAACCCTCTGCCTCGACGCCCCCCTCGTCCTCTTCCTCTGTATCGTCCTGCTCCTCCTCCTCCACCTCATCCTCCTCAACCTCCTCCTCCTGTTCCTGCTCCTCCTCCGACGTCTCGTCTTCCTCCTCCTCTTCCTGCTCCTCCTCCTCCTCCGACATCTCTTCCTCCTCCTCTTCCTCCACTTCTCCCCCGCTCTCCGTGCTCACGCTGCCCTCCTCCTCCTCCTCCTCCTCCTCCTCATCCTCGCCCGTAGGCCTCTCCTCGGTTTCTCCCGCCCCGCTGTCATCCCCGCCACTCCCGTCCGTTTCACCGCTCCCGCTTCCTCCGGCCGTCGCACTAACCGCGCCCTCTTCTTGCGCCGCCTCATCGTCGTCACTGCCGCCATCCCCGCTCTCTGCTCCCCCACCACCTTCGCTGTCTGTCTCGCCCGCGGTGGCATCAGCAGCGCCACTGCCGCTCTCCACGTCGTCGTCATCATCATCGCCGTCCGCGCTCTCTTCCACGCCGTCTTCGCTCCCCGCACTAGCCGGCCCTCGCCTGCCGGCAAGACCGCGCCCGCCGCTCCGGGCATCCTCGCTACCCTCTCGTCCCTCCTCGCCAACGCCCCCGCTTTCTGTTCCGACTTCCGCTACGCTGTCCGAGTCACCCCGGCCGCTGGCGCCGGAACTGCCGCCGCTGCTGCCGTCCCCCTTCCCGTCCAAATCGACCGAGCTACTCGCGCCACCGCCGACGTCGTAACCGCCGCCGCCGCCATTGCCGTCACTCTCGATGCTCTCGCCGTTCGTCCCCACGGACTCATCGTCACTCCCCTCTTCCCCCTCCCCCATGACGTCCCCTCCGCGGTGCCCCCGTGTCGCCCCGCCCGCCGCGGCGGTATCCCCGGTGTCCGACAAGGAGGACGACTGGTCGTCCTCGTTGTTCTGGAGAGGCATTTCGGCTCCCGCTGCCGGCGACACCGCGCTACTACCTTCCCGTGTTCCCCCTTCCTCCTCCGATGCCGCAGCCCCGCTTGTGCTGCTGTCAGTAGAGCTACGACTTGCGATGCTGTCGGGTTGTTGTGTGCCGTCGTTCTCATCCATGACATCCGCCTTGTCCCTGCCGCTGCCGTCTCCGCTGCTACTGCTGCTGCTGCTGCCACCGCCGCTGGCGCTGTCGTCAGGTTGATCCCCCGCGCCGCCGCTCTCCTCCTCCTCCTCCTCCTCCTCCTCCTCCTCCTCTTCCCCTTGCCCCGTGGCCTCGTCATCGCTCGTCGAGCCGTCCACGCCCCCGGCTGCCGCAGTCACGATCTCCTCTTCCTCGTCGTCCCCTACCTCCCGCGCGTCGGCACCCGCCCCCTCGTTCTCCAGACCCTCGCCCTTCCTCCCTACTACCCGCTCCCCGACGCTCCTCGCCCGCGTCAGCCCCCCCCCCTCCTCCCCGTTGCCTTCCGAAAGCACCGCCCCTTCTCGCGGGGACCCGTCATCGGAGCCGCCGTCGTAGCCGGGGGAGAAGTCGAGCCGGCCGAGACCACTGAAGTCGCCGAGATCGGACAGGCCTTCGAGGTCGAGGGGAGACTCGTCCGGGTCGTCGGCGTTCCCCACGGACCGAAGGAGGGCCTCCAAGTCGTCTATTATTTGTAGTTGAAGAACAGGTGTGTGTCGAGGTGAAAATCACCAGAAGAGCAGGCGGTGAAAAATCACCACAAACGCAAGCGGCGAAAAGTACCAGAAAAAGCAATCGAAAAAAAAAGGCGCGAGGGGGGGGGGGGGGGGGGGGGGGGGGAATTTTTCCCCGGCCCAAAATTCCAAAAATTTAAAAAAACGGGTTCCCGCGGGGGGGTTTTTTAAAACCCCCAAAAAAAAAAAAAAAAAAAACGCCCCCCGGGGGGGGGGGGGGGAGGGGGGTTTTCCAACGGGCGCTTAAAATTTAACAAAAGGGGCCCCGGGGGGAACCCCCAAAAATTCCATCCAAAAAAAAGGGCGGGGGGGAAATGGTTAAGGGGGGCCCCCCCCCGGAATTTT